TAAGGGGCAATCGAAACAGACGGAACGGAACGCGTCAAATCATTGTCAATGTAGACACAGCATCAAATTTCGGAGTCGGAGTCGGTTGAAGAAGAAAGTTTTTATATATTTAAATTGTTTTATTATTTTAAAAGTGACAATATAATATGAAGTACAATATCATGGATTCAAACATCATGTTGATGATTATTATGAAGTATCTTATACAAGTACGGGATGAACCGATGTACTGAAGCAGTGATGGTCTAATATTGTTCTACATGATCCTCGTAAAATAAAACCGCAGTAGCCACACTTCCCTGCCTGCGAACAAATACAATTGTTTAATTATCTTTATTTCATTTAAAGTGAGGTTATGACTTTGTTCAGTAGATGCCATGTTAATCACTTGTAATTCTGTTCAATTTGATGTTGTGTTTCCTTACGTCATTTCATTATTACAAAATACTTGCTCGGTCTTTTTATTAACAAAAAGTACTTTCTGTACAAAATCTAAGATTAGACTAGGTTAGGTTTTACGCGTTAATTGTATATCTACATCGAAAGAAATGTAGAAATTACAAAAATTGTTCTCCTAAAATAACAGAGGTAGATATTATATTTATTAAAAAGTATACAAATACTTACAGGGCCGTCCATTTAGAAATTCGTTATTTTCTATATTACACTTTAACTGCTTTTACTTATTGTACAGTCGACGTCGTACACACGTAAATAGCGGATTCTGCTTTTCCGTTAAAACTCGCGAACTGAACTCGCGGAAACGCGGAATCTAGTTACTTTCCGTTCCGCGTTTCCGCGCTCCATGTAAGGCTGAAATCACATGGTGCAGAATAGAGCTGCGGAATAGAACGTGCGTCATAGAAGCAACCAATCAGAGTCAGACATTTCCGTCACTCGTTGATACGGCAAAGCTCTGATTGCCTGTTTCTATAACGCACTCTCTATTCCGTACTCCTATTCCGCATCATGTGATTTCAGCCTTAGGCTGAGGGTGGAGTCCCATGGAGCGGAATACGCGGAAGCGGAATCAGCGGATCGCCAATCGCAAGATTATTCTGATAGAGCCCTTTCAAAAATTCCGTCGAAACGGTCTTGTGATTGGCGATCCGCTGATTCCGCTTCCGCGTATTCCGCTCCATGGGACTCCACCCTGAAATCACATGATGCGGAATAGGAGTACGGAATAAAGAGTGCGTTATGGAAACAGGCAATCAGAGCTTTGCCGTATCAACGAGTGACGGAAATGTCTGGCTCTGATTGGTTGCTTCTATGACGCACGTTCTATTCCGCAGCTCTATTCTGCACCATGTGATTTCAGCCTAATGGCACCCTTGTAGCCGCCGTACTTAGTAACTATTATTTGTCACTAGAAAACACAAGTTTACACAGCCGACTAGTAGCCCTCAGGCTGAGTACGAATGTGTAGAGGTGTGTCGACATTTGTGACAATTGGAACGCCATTTGTGTCGCCGTGTGCACGAAAGTGTCTAGGGATATTGCAATTGGAAAGCACCCTCTATCCAGCGCTTTGACGCTGCATGAAATAGCACCTCAAGCACAGTATAACCAGTATGCCCACTCTCTGTCGGCACCTTTGATCTGGGCGTTCTCAATTTTCCGCCATGTTTTTGATAGCCCCAACAGTGTATCAACGGCTAAAAGTGCCTGGGCCCTTTTCAGGATCGTATCCAGGAAAGGCGCGTACGAACTAGCGTACATTATTTATTGTAAATGGAAATGGCCTACGAAAAAAATGTTCTAATAAAAGTAATTAATGTAATTACTTGCTCCAACGTATAAAAGTATTAACGCGTTATTCGTCAAAATTTTTGCAAACTGCAAATTTTTCGATGTCACACCGACTTTGCACTAACACACGTACAAAAATCCTGTGATTGGTCATAGCTAAAACATGTCGGATGCGCAGTACGGATCGGCGCGAACGTGAAACAAAAGAGCGAGTGGGCATACTGGTTATACTGTGCCTCAAGCGTCAGCATGAAAATGCACCTTTATAGTTCAATGCGTGTGCAAAACGGAACGCACCCTACAGATACCGAAGCGCATGCGCTATGGCTTCCGCTAGGGCTCCTATATTTTTATGTGCTTTTACCCAAATTGTGTAGGGGCGATATTTTTAAGATAAAGCTGTATATATATATATTTACATCAAGTTGCTTTTATATAAATTTAAAAATTCGCTACTGAAGCTAATGTAAATACATACAATGCCAAAATAATTATTAATCGAGTGTTCTTTTACGATGAATTAACGGAATTAACCTATTCAGCTGAACTTTTTTCGAACGTATCTTGTCAATAAAACCGGGTGTTTATCAAGAAATCTCTGAGAACGAAACGAAGGTGTGTGTGATAAATATGTTGACGTTACCAAGATTATTAGTAAATCATGTGAAAGCGTTGGCAGCACCCGCTTTACCTAGCAAAGCGGATCATCTTTCGCAGCAAACACGGGTAATTTCTTTTAATATCACGAGGCCTTGTAATTCTTGAGCCGCTTGACGAATTCTTGCGCATAGAAATTGTTAATTGTCCTCGTACTTATTGATTTACACCTGATACATTTATTGTTTCAATACTTTTGCAGAATACCTTTATTCTCAGGAGAAGGATTTCGCCGTTTCTTCACGGGAAGAATTGCAGACCCAAGAAGTTAAGAGCGAGGCATTTTATATACGATCTCGTCGAGAATACGAATGTAAAGCGAAAGGAGCCGCTTGATCTGATTCTAACACAGTATGTAACAGGACTGGGCAACGTAGGCACCCGAGTGTCGGTGCATCCGTCGTACGCGTATCCAAAGCTTCTACTGCCAAGACTGGCGGACTACGCTACCCCCGAGAACATCGAGAAGTATATGAAACTGGCGACGGACCAGGGGGACGACACGCCGTTCAGCTCTGCTTCGGTGGAGAAGACCATGAAGTACCTGTCGCAGAAGCGGATATCCATCGTGATGTCGAAGGATGTGCCGTGGACACTGGAGAAGTGGCACGTGAAGGCGAACTTCCGTAAGGCTGGTATCCACCTACCTGAGGATGCCATAACGATGCCCGAGAAGCCGATATCCGGGCCGAATTTGGATCTGGAGGGAAAGCAGTTTTACGTGACCCTTACGATTAACAATCGCGAGCAGGTGAAGGTGAGATGCGCGTTGCATCACTGGACGCCGGACAAGAGCGCTCAGATTTACGTCGAGGAGTTCTGGAAACAGCCGAGCGAGCCGATATTCCCTGAGGACAAACCAATTCTAGACTCCCTTCCCCCCTCCTGGGTGGAGAGGAAGAAAGCTGAATCGCATTAGTAATATATTGTACTCTAATAATGTAAATAAATTGCATTTAAACGGGGAATAAGAATGTATACATTTTTTTTAGAAGCTAACTCACAAACTAATAGATATATCTCGAATCCCGCATAATCGTTATGATATTGTTTTGCAATGACGATTGTATTCTGCGATATGACGAGGATTCTCCACTAAGATCCTCGACTGCCGTTCCGATTTTAGAGTCTGGTTGGCGCTTGAAATATATATATATGTATATATATACTTGCATGTAGAACTATATCTTCCTAGAATCAATAATTTGACTCTGTTATACCTTCATAGTGATTAGAAGGAAAGCGTGTCTATTTCTAGAAACCGATAACCTGGAAATCTCACTATGTAAATTGTAGGCAGACAACTATGATGTTTCTGTAATATAATAGCTCACCATGGGCGAGAGGCACTTTGTGTGGGATGAAATTTCAGAAGGATTGATTCTGTCAAGGTGAGGGGAGAATTTTTGGTGAGAGAATTCGGAATTTATTTTTTTGCGCGACGTCTCGTTTGTGGTTTTCCCTTAGATCAGACTCGTCTTCTGACTTTCGAGCTGTAGTATGTACTTGGAATATGCGGCATAATTTAATGTTCTGTTATAGAGGAAAGTCCCGTATTATGAGACAAGCTCCTAATATGAGATAGCAGAGTTTCCGCTAAATTAATAGGCATTATCTGTTGGTTCTAGCGTGCATTTGTTGCCCTTGGAGTGAAATGTTTTTAGTGGGAAATTCATTGTTCGATCGTGCAAACGCGAAAAAGATTTTTGATTGAATTTGGATGTTGAAAACCTACTGTCTCATATTAGAAGTCTATCTCACAACGGGGAGACTCTATATTTGTGATTGGTATGATCCTGGCGGAAATTTTTTATTGAAATAAAATTTTGCTGAAAAACTATCGAGCCAGTTTCATCGTCATTTCATCAACATTTCGGTAAACGTTCAGCGAAAAATCATTTTCATAAAAAAGTAACAGATTTTAGTAAAATTCAGTAACTTTCGTAGTACGTAAAATATTTAATTTTTCTGTATTACTTTTCAACAGTATTTCAACAGTACTTTGACTTTCCACGTATTATTTGCATTAAATTTCATTTTGAGATACGTTCTATAATTTTTAAACTTTCATTTTTAAACTCACCTTTTATCGATTTCATAATGCTTTCAGTAAAGTATTTCCATTGGGGACACACACCACACACACACACACGCACACGCACATACATACATACATATATATCACAATAAAATGACACACACATATATGTATATACAGGGTGAGCCATTTTAATCTATGCACCCAAATTTCTTTGTATCTAAGACAGATACGGAAAAATGGTTCAGACAAAAGTTGTTCAAGATAATGGGGGTCACCTATCTGTGTAACTAGCTTTGACCTTGAGCCTACTTTCCAAGGTTATTTGAAGGTCAGAGTAGTTTTTTTAAATGGGAACCCCTATTTTTAATTACATATTCTTATAGCTTACCTCGAGAGCTTTCCAAAACGCTATAATAAAGTATTTTTTTATTAAGAACTTTTTGAGCTATGAAGGTTTGAAAGTTCCAATATTTTGACATAAATTACAAAATATCTTGTAAAATATTCATTTTTATCATCTTACCTTAATGCTTTTTTGAACAGAATAATGACACAAATCAACCGATGTAAAGAAAACAATTGTTAAAAAAATTTTTTTTTATTACTTGTTACAAAATTGTGTTTTCTTTACACCGGTTGATTTGTCTCATTATTCTGTTAAAAAAAGTATTAAGGTAAGATGATAAAAAAATGAATATTGTACAAGATATTTTGTAATTTATGTCAAAATATTGGAACTTTCAAACCTTAATAACTCAATAAGTTCTTAATAAAAAAATACTTTATTATAGTGTTTTGGAAAGCTCTCGAGGTAAGCTATAAGAATATGTAATAAAAAATAGGGGTTCCCATTTAAAAAACCACTCTGACCTTCAAATAACCTTGAAAAGTAGTCTCAAGGTCAAAGCTAGTTACACAGATAGGTGACCCCCATTATCTTGAATAACTTTTGTCTGAACCATTTTTCCGTATCTGTCTTAGGTACAAAGAAATTTGGGTGCATAGATTAAAATGGTCCACCCTGTATGTCATTTTATTGTGATACATATTTTCATTTATGAATAACTACATTTGTTCTGAACATATTGTATTTTTATTCTATTTAATAATTTTTTTTCGGAATTCATGCTTGGCTCTGGTATTTTGTAACAAGTAATAATATCTTCGGAAAATACCAAATATAAAGTAATTTGAAAGAAAAGCTCTCCCGAGTCCTTTCCCAGTGAGAAATGATTCGTCGATCGACGTCGAAACGACGTCGAATTGACATCGACACCGTCGAATTAACGTCGTTTCGACGTCGATTCGACATCGTTTCGACGTCGATTCGACATCGTTTCGACGTCGATCGAAGAATCATTTCTCACTGGGTTTTGTCCTATGTGTAAATTTTTGTTGCTCAGTGCGACAAAGGCGGAGGACGAGCAAGCCAGGCGACGAAAGAAACTAGTCACCGTCGTCCAGACGTCGGAAATTTATTGCCCGCATGCTTATTTGATTTTGTCCTATCGGGAAGCATTAAATGACAGCGAAAGGGTGAGAACTGGAGATGAACGTAGTTAGGGCAACTTTCACCAAGCTCCGGTTAACTCAACCGATCTAGTAACATGCAGGATTGCAACTGAATCTGATGAGAAATCTGATGAGAATCCGAGAAAATATATCAGATTCGGTTGCAATCCTGCATGTTACTAGACCGGTTGGGTTAACCGGAGCTTGGTGAAAGTTGCCCTTAGACTCCTTTATTCCTAATATCAAAAAGAATGCCGTGTGTGTTCGCAATTGCAGATCAAATTCCGAAAGCATTATCTGAGAAAAGTGACGCCGGATGAGCCGGACATCATCATCCTGCAGGATATCAAGGACCTCGTGCTCTTCCTCCTCGTGACGTCGGTCAGTCCGCAGTTCATAAACTTCCTCCACTTGCCGGTCGCGGACCGATTTCTGAGGGCGCTGATCGTCTACTTTCAACGCTACGTGGAGATATGGGAGGACCTGGTGCAGGAGCGGGCGGCCACCATGAGGAAGGCGCCGAATCCGCTGGCGCGTGGACACAGGTCCCGATACGCCGACGAGATGCACACCCTACGTTGTGTTCTGGGTAGGGAGTATGCGGATCTGTTGCTAGGCTGCCGGGATGGGCCCCGGTACCACCACATGATGACCGGCGAAAGACGTGCGGCCACGCAGTCGCAGGGCGAGAAAGACCTGCGGATCTACGAGGCGTTGATAAGCGTAGCTCATCGGATCGTGTGGATAGCGTTGCGACGAAAACACTACACCCTGATCGGTACGGCGAGGTGCCGAGCAGAACAAAGAGTCTCATTTAAAAGTTACGATGATATTAGAAAGTAATAATTTTTCTAGAAAGTCAAGGGTGTTATTTAATACTTTTGATGAAACGTTTTATGACTGCATTTTTAACTTTTCGATTACCTTTGCTGACGGAACGCAAATTGCTCGTGTATACGAAAAAATAACAATCTCGCGGTATTATAAGAGGAAAGTCCCCTATTATGAGACAAGTTCCTAATATGAGATAGCAGGGTTTCTGTTAAATTAACAAACATCATCTATTGGTTCCACTATTGAATTTATTGCTCTTGAAATGAAATCTGTTTAGTGGAAGATGTGTTAGTGCATTAACACTATCGACGCGCGACTCACGGACAGGTTTCCGTTCAACCGTAATGTATGATTGGCCTATTTTGAACCTTTTTATCTAAAAAAACTACTGCTCGGAACGAAAAATGGTAAATAACTTTTTATTTTTTCGACGACTTTCTTGCTATGGTATTTTGATTCGCGAATTTCAGGACACCCTGTATATAAAGTAACTATTAATGTGTCTAATTAAATTAGTTACTAGTTATTGAAAAATGAAACTGAGTTAAGTTACAGTTACAGATGGAGAAAGAGTAACGAAATTAATTTAGAGTTACCACAAAAAGTAACTGTAACTGCTGTTCATTATTACCATATATTTAAATCCAACATACAATTATAAGTATCAGAAGTAATCCAAGTTCAAATGATCGCAAACCCTGTCGCACTGCATTTCTAAATTTCAAAATCGTACTTTGATCGTTTTGCTGTTATGATTGAAATATGACTTTTGATATTAATTATGATGTCATTGTGACTTCGTCTTGACTTCTTGTTCTGCTTGGAATAATACGAGTACATGATGTTCGCGGGGTTCTTTTGGGTAACTGGTTATTGTTTCACAGAGCTAGAGCTGCATAGATTACTCCGAACCGAGGCATACAACACCGCGCAAAGGCAAAGCGGCAGCCGCCTCGTTCAGGATATGCTCGAGGACGATATTTGTATATTACACGGGCGCGAGACGCCGTTGAAAAGCCGGAAATTACTGAGAAATTCCCCCTTGCCTCGCGAGCTGATGTACGCGGATTGCGACTATCGTCTTTTATCGTTAGGTGATATATGTTATTTATGGAAGTAGCATATTCGTGTGTCACAAAGTGTCACAAAGTGATTTATAGAAATAATAAACATATTTTAGGATATATAGAATATCGGAGGAAACAGCCCGATAAAAAATGTTTCATGCATAAATATGTATAAATATGTAGAACTAGCTTTTTCGCCCGCGCTTCGCGCGGGCTCAAAAGCTAGTAAAAGCATGAATCAGATTAGATTTTAGATCAATAACAATGAATCCTGTGCCATTGCATAGTCCTTTCTTGGTATTTAAATTTTCCAAATCTTTCGGGGGAGGCTGCTAAGGAGGTTTTTTAAAGTTTTGCG